TTCAAACAGTGAACACTGTAATGATGCGTTTGAACCACTTCATTTGAACGGATCGCACTCAGTTTACTTAATATTTACACTGAACACTCAAACAAATAATTCAACTCAAATCACTTTAATCCCACCTACACAAATGCGCATAATACGCGAGTGTATAATGCCTAACAGTGAAACATGATATCTATTATGTCTCACTGAGTAACTGATATGAAAGCGTGATGAGGATTAGAGTTATTGGAATGTGTCATGTTGTAATTTCCTTACTTTGGTTACTGTTTAATTGGTTTATTTGTTCAATACATTGATGAGACATTTTGTGGTTGAAGATATTGACGTTGAATTCCCCCTAACAGCAATCTTCAAACAACACATAGATACAACCACATAACGTGGACAAGTTCAACATAGAAACAAGTACGAATTCACAATGGTACAGTAGCGTGTATTGGTTACACTGTCATTGCTCATTGTGTTGAATCTCGTGGTGGACTACTACAGACTAGTTTAATGCATTGTACACATCAGACGTGATTCATAGGTTTCGATTTTACATATTGATACTTGACAAGAAATGAATGTTCTCCATTGTTTCACTAACAAATCGTTAAGTGAAATTTGTCACTGGATTTTGGTCAATATTGCGTATTTTTCGTGCATGCCATTACTCGTATTCACTTTGTGAACTGTGGTTTGCATGATTATACTCAACGTGGAGTACTCATGATGTAACACGAATCATTGTATTTCTCAAATTTTGTAACGAGACTGTACTCATTGATCTGCTTAATAAAAACATTCCGACGAAACCTACATCCATATCATGCACACAAAATATCCCCTTGATATACTGCTGATTGTAGCTCAACTTGTATGCTCTGCATTGACACAGTGTGTCGGGTTATACAAGTTGTATTTTCACAGTTCAACATTGTGATACTTTGAGTAAGCACAAATCGAATCATTTGTTCATGCTTATCATCAATCACATGAAGTGAGTGAGTGCGATCTCATTTTCAGATGATTATCTAAAGTTGATTCAATCAGCTTACTCATATGATGTCATCGATTTAATTTTTCATTGTATAATATCATGTTTTTATTACTGAAAAATTGAACGTCAGTGTGAATCGATGGTTTAGATGTTCATTTCGAAATGCTAATCAAACACTTAATGGATACAGAACATTTGAAAACGATCAGATTCATAGTGGTTGTTGAGTGTGGAATACAGAGATCAGCTGATTACATACAGTGACAGTGTGAAACATTATTGCATGGCGTAATGGATTAATATGCAAATCTCAATGAAATTGAATCATATCAATAGCACTTAACATGAAAAATAACATCAGTTTGCTAGCTATTTCGTTGAAATACTTGTGCAAATTGTCATCAGCTTCTCTAATCTCTATTGACAGTTTCGTTTACACAATATGTGGAAAAGCATCGGAATGTTGAACATTTGATGTCTTCTTTCTATGTATTATGGTAGCAATCTGTTTAAGCAAATTATGCAATTTAGTTAACGGAATGGTCAATGATGGTGAATCCATGATCACTATAGTGTGTATTGCGTAGACAGATAGTTACTACATTCTAACAAAGTCGCTAGCTCAATCTCAAATAAATACAGAGATTATTAAATAGTTCGCTTTATTGACCTAGTAAATTCATGACCGACATTAAGTTAAAACATGTTTACACTGCACTTAACAATCCATCAAAAATGAATCGTGATTTTGTATTCATTAGGATTCATTGTGATTCGTAGTAAACTTGTAACTTATCTATGTACAATGAAATCACCATTCAGTTTAATAATAAACGTACTTGGGAGCCTTCCGCTGAATGTTTCATGCTACGATTGTAGATATGCAAACGTTGGAAATTCAGTTGTCTTCCAATTATGCGATGAGTTTAATTATACAATTGGCGGGATAGTCCTAAGCAAACAAGTTCAAGACAATTGTGATTATCTCAATCTCACCACATATTATACAAAGTGAGTTTGTGGGGCCGCATTCAATCAGCTAACTCACAAGATGTGATTCAAACACTTACAGTCAGGTCTCTCTCTTTATATTTTCAACAGAACTCTAATCGTGTTCCCATTTTGTGATAGTCTGGAATGAATGTTAAACAAATTATTAGTCCAAGTGTATGAAATAAGTGTGATGTACCATCATTCACAAGACTGGCGGTTTCAACTGAATACCAAACAGATATGAGTTCAAGGCTAGCTATCAGTTCACCGAAAACCACAGATGAGCACTGACTGCATTTGCATGACAATACGAAAATGGCCAGTTAATTTCCATGGGAAGGTCTGTGTGTGCTGCTCCGATGTCCGGTGGACTCATTGGTGCCGGCCTATTCAGGAGTTCCTCGAAGTATTCTACCCATCTGTTCCCCTGTTGTTGACTTTCAATGATTGGCTTGCCTTCTTTGTTTTTGACCGGTCTCTCTAATTTACTTTATTTCCCTGATAGTTTCTTCGTTGTATCGTAAAGCTGTTTCATATTATCTGTTCCTGCCATCTAGATATTTCAACAGGTTATCTATTTTTGTTTATTTTAATATATCATTATGTCTATTAATCGAATAAACTATCCTGGTGCATTTCTGAAAATTGTACAACTTTTCATTGTCAAAGTTACACAAGGCCCAATAAGAGAGAATGTGATCGCTGGCAATATTCAGCAAAAAGAATATACATTATTGATATGTTCATTTACTGGACTGCTAACATATAACTGGCAACCACTCAATATTTATCGTCAGGGTCGACCAAGAAGTAAGAAACGGAAACTTGGTGAAATACTTTGTGCTGAGAATTCAATATTGTAACAAAAATATAATTGTTATGGCCTTGAATCGCTTTTACCACGTCGATACTTTGTTATGACTTGATCCTGATCTGTCTAGTCCGGATTATGACCTTGGCGCAATAGGCTGTGCAGTTTAACCTTGAGTCTAGTACGCAAGAGTTCGAGATTGAGTAGAGAGAAAACTATTCTAGGACCGGATTGGCTGGCAGGCAAGTAAGCGAGAGAAGACAAAACAGTTGGAACACTCTGAAATCTCTGAATTCTGGATTCGGATAAGTGCAAAAAGGTACATGAATAAATAGGTGAATATCCTGACGACAACGTACAATAATTTGGAAAAATACCACTATATCCAAATTTGGGAATTACGGTAGAAAAGAAGGTGCAAAATATTATGCTTTAATTACAATAGTTTCGCAATAAAAAGTGGTATGGCAACGAATGATACATCGAACGTAAGCTCAAGTTCTGTAGAATAAAATAGGAACAAAAATAAATATAAGTGTTTTACAAGGTTTGAATAAAGTGAGATAACGTCCCAAGAAATGGCTATCGTAGTTTGTCTGGACTTCTTATTTAACTGTTCACAACAATAATATTGGATAAAGCTTATAATAGTAATAATAAATAGGTGTTGAGGTACCACTATTTGCTAGACTGCCAATCACATTCGAGTACACATCTCGACACTGATCACGCTCTTGTTCGCGTTGACGTTACCCAAGTTTCATTGATTACGAATTCATTGTCACAAATGGATTGATGACACCAAATTGAGGCAGCCTCGGTTTCAAATGAATACCAAACAGAAATGAGTTCAAGGCTAGCTACCAGTTCGCCAAAAACCATAGATGAACACTGGCTGCATTTCCATGACACTACAAAAATGACGAATTAATTCCCTTGCGGCATCGTGAGACGTCTCACATATGAGCAAAGATCTACTGCAGGCTCCTCACAACTCGTCGAATCAAGTCAGTCTACTCAGAATGACCGCAAATTCGGTTTTGAACTGAGACGATTGTATGATGCAACAGGTCAAAGCTTGCGTAAGAACGGAGAAGCCTGATTGTCAGAACGTGCTTACGATTTAGAAACAAGGGCTGTTTCTCGTAGCTGCCAGAAGCTCTTTGAGCTCAACCAAATCACTGGAGACAAGACGTCTGGTATGAGTAGAACAATCTATGAAGATGGCTGCATGCCAACTGATAACATCTACAGATATCCTGGACTATAGAAAGACGCTTTCGAGGAGCATTTCGTCTGGTACAATCCACAAGTGACATCAGAAACGTAAACTGAATATCAAAAATGCTGAGTAGGGTCCGTTGATATGTCAAGCCCCATTCATTGCCTGCAAGTATCTTCTTTCTTCCCAACTATAAACATCGAATCACATTTAGTCAAATTCAGCCGGCCTACATGCCTTCTACATCGCGCATTATTTTCTTTTCACTGACATTTCTCCATTTCCACGATTGTCTGTTCTAATCAACATATGTATGTATGGAATATACAAACGCGAGTTAAGTCTGCGATTATATATGATAATATTTAAGATATGTATTTCGACAGCAATCATTTGTCCGATCTAATTAGAGTCAGACAGGAAAACACTAAATTTGTATCAATTTAACGGAAATAAGAAGTGTTCAAGCAAATTAGAAAATCTATTATCAACAACCAGGTGTTCAATCAATCTATAAAGGAAGACCATCAGCATTTGAGAATTGTAAGAGATACTACTGAAAATACTAACTTTATACGCTTCACACAAAATGTGACAATCACATTTATAACAATCTGTGACATTTTTGATGCACATCTCTGATGAGTGCCATCACTGCATAAAACATCCGGCAAATGCTTTATCCTATTCAGTCTACATTTGAGTCAAATCAGTCTGTAATGTAATGACTAGTAATCACATGCTAGTTTTATTAAATGAATTTCAATATAATTCCGCAATTTTGTCAAGCATCATTGTGTCACACGTCCACTGTATGTAATCGGCTGATCTTTCTATTCCACTCAAAAACAGACAGCATGAGTGTGATTGTATTTATGATATCATGATTGGTTGAAACTTATTATCTCGTCATGAAATAAAAATATAAAAGGGATCGTGCAAGTAATTGGTTGAAGAGACAAACTATTCTAATCAATATGTAAGTTATTCAAATTTTCCGTATTCGATTAGTGTTTGATTAGCATTTCGAAGTTGACATCTTAAACAGGAATTCACACTGATATATAATTTGTCGGTAGTAGAAACAGTTGAATATCACAAACGTTGTGCAGACGTGTTCAACCTGCATCATATCTTGCTTTTGTTCACCAAATAAGTCGTTTTATTCCCAGCTCAAATGTGGTCTTCAAAAAATGCTAGACGTCATATTGCTGATGGTCACTATGGGAGTAGTCAGTATAGACAATGCAGAAATATCCACATTAAAACATATAGATTGGTTAGTCACACCATAACTGTTAAAATCGCAGTACTCTTACTGAAATAGACCGACATCGTTTAGATTCGTCTAAATACTGATGGATCAGGTGGCGGTATTTGATATTGTGTTTGGTTTCCACAATGCATTCGTCACCATCTGTGCCGTATATCGGATGAATATTTCGTATAATCTCGCATTATACTGATAACACCATTTAAGTGAACTTCAATTGAAAATCTATTTTACATTACAGATAATACATCAAATTAGTTGTCTGCTGGTTCACCTCAGAATGATGACTACAATTCTCACTGTTGTTGTTTTGATACTTACAACTGTAATGATGAAAACGTACGACACATTGGAAAAAAATTCATTAGAAACAATCATCATACATCACGGTGAATTAATCAACAAAACTCTATTCAACTTCACTGATCCCCAAAACAGATATGTATTTGAAAATTGGGTTGAGTACTCAGATACAGTTGAACATGGAGGGCGATCAAAGGCCACACTCGTACCACTTAATGGACAGGTAAATTTTATCTATGGATGTAATTTAACTGACACCATGTTTAGAATTACCAGTCAGCAATATTCTTCTATTTACTCAATCACCAAGCAAATGGACCAACCTTTGCGGGTGTTTACAAAATACATTATGTTCATGTTTTGCCATCATATGACGGTGTGGAAATTGATCTACATCGACGAGGTCTAAATTCTACTTTTAAATTAATCTTCCATGCTAACTGTTCGAATACACGACATTGTGACTCATTTGAGTCGAATTTCACGGTAATTCGATATCAACTTTTGTAGAATAATTCAATTTGTTTTATATGAAATTCTAATAGACGACTGAAGGACGACAACAAATACAATTACCATTTAATAAATTGAAACAAGACGTTCGGGAAACACAGCGCTCTAATTCAAAGCATTCCGTTTTAAAGCAAGCATATCGATTCGGCATTCAAGCGTATACAGACATTAATGGGTCGACGAAGGAATATGGTGCAGGTTCAATCGAAATATACTACATTAGACTATACAAAGTGAAACCATAACGACACTCATACTGAAAAGCAATTGAAATGGTGATCGTGAAGCTGGATAATGAATTTTAGAAATATTTCCTTATTTTGATTGAGAATTTCTGACATTAACGCAGTAGAATATACTCATCATTTGGTCTTTTGTTTACAATTGTGTAATTTTCCATTTGCGTTATCTATAATTAAAGAAAACCGGTAGTAAGTGAGACGTGTGGCAATTCAGTTGACTGAGTTTATGAATTGACATGGGATTGGTTTAGAATCAAGTGGAAAAGATTTCAGACACTTTGAACTTTTAAGATGACACAAGTATTTGTAGTTTGACAACACATTAACCAGTAACAGATTAGATAATCGAAAGGTGTCAACACTGTGAAATCAGAAGATAGAAGCAAAGAGGTTGAAATATGTATTTGACCGACTATCGACATGTCGAGAAATGACTGATCTGAGCTGACTAGCCGTGGTAGCAGAAGTTGATCACAGCTTACACACTCGTGATCTTGTGCGGATACGTGAGACAGCGCCTTTAGCAAGGTGATCGCAATAAAACTAACATGGTCAGCGTCAAATAACGAAATCTTACAGGGCTATTGATTTTGAGGATTTATTCGCCGGTACACCGTGCATGACTAATTAGACTTAAATGTATGATTGAGCAATGTCAAACAACAATTTGTACAGTTACACATGGTATTGCAATGAAAAGTGATGAATATGATATAGGCAATGGATTTTTAACACATACAGAGGCGTTTCAGGTAAACTGACTAAACTGTTCAACTATTATTATTATTATTACGGTAACCAGTGAACACCCACAATTCTGAACTATCTCAAACTTCCATCGAGTCTCGATATGACGTAACCATTAACTCGAATCAGTTAAAGACATCCGTTAGACACTCAAACTAGTGACTTTCTTACAACTGAGATCGCGAATGAATGTAGTCTAGACCACCGTTAGGTAGCTGGAGGCACTATAGAGACATTTCATCCAAGTACACAACTGCTCATCCGTAAAAATGCACGGCTCCACATCTGGGACACTGTACTGATAATAATCATGTTCTCACTGGTGACTAACTTCAGTGTGTGATACTTGTAGATCTGATGGGAAGCCGTCACGCATGAAGCCCAATTACGTCAGATATCAGACAGTTTTCTCATCTAAAATAGATGAAATTCGTGAAACATTGTTGAAGTGATCAATTTTTCACATAGATACCGTTGGACGACGACCTAGTGATCTATATGTTGAAGAGACGACAGTGTGTGTTTGATAGATGTGAAAAGTTCTAGTTTGTGCATTACATCACAGCCACTGTCTCCATTTTTATTTATCATAAAAAGTTTTCAATATTTCAACCTATTGAATTATGTCAAAAGAAAGCACTTCAAACAACGTTTAGAACTTGGCTAGTTATTGAGTATCTACAGCAAGGGTGCACTTGATAATAAGTAAACAAATTGCTATATCCCATTGAGTAGGAGAAATGTGTTTCTCAACTTAATGAGTTGCATTTCTTCAAATTGAACTAACAAACGACATTCAATTGACACAAGTTTAAATTGTACTTGACAGACGATCAACAAATGATTGGTGATGTTTAGAGCTCGCTCTGATCTGTTGTTATCCTAAAACGTACCCAGTTATATAGAAAAAGTCAGTCGGCATAAATAACAAACGTACTTGTAAATACTCTACTTACTATTCCACACTGCCAGTGTGGATATACAAACGTTGAAATTTCAATAGTCTTTATATCACAAGACGAACTCGTTTATGCAATCTGTATTGTTTATAATATTAATTGATGAATATTGTACTTTACTGACAGCATCATACTATACCAAATGTAATCAGTTCATATCTGTTCACAGAGTTCTGTCATAATACACTAATACATTTGTAACTACGAAATTATGCGTTGAAAGGATTTAGGAATATTTATTTGCTTAGTTTTAAGATAGACCAACTAATCGCAAAGCGGTTGACTGAAACACTGGAGCAGTTAGAAAGCAGGTACCTAAATACTGAATTTATGGTGTTCTGCAATTTATTGGCCATACTTATGTTGCCAATTCTACCACATGGACTTGCATGACATTATATCTTTGATTTCCACAATTTGAGTGTGGAATGGTCAGTTGATTGGTGACAAGTACGTTTGTTATTTATGTCAACTGGTTATTTCATTACATAAAACTAGGTTATGAGATTACACTGGAACATTTAATCTATTCACTGTTCTCTCTCATAATGGAAGACAATCGGCTTGAACAGCGTCCTCAGTTCCAAATAACTTCGTTCGATAACATTTTGTTTAAATTGATTACTACTGTGATACACTGAGGAAAGACATCATTTATGTTAAGCTCCAAAGTCTTCAAAAAAATTCCGTAAACGAAACTATCAAAAGAAGTTACAAAAGCTCATGATAAATTGTAATAGTATTGAAACGAAATAGTCACGCATATATGCACAAACCAAACTGTAGGATTGCTGCTCATTTATACATTTTACTATCTATACTCCGAATATCGCGAAGTAACTGAAAATAACCGTGCAAGCAGTTAGATGTCGGATCCGAAGGGAACATTATTTGCTTGACAGATTGTTTGCACAAAATATCATCCAAATAATTCAGATAACTTTTAAATACTAGATGACATTTCATTTTGACAGAAAATACACATAATACACACATGCACGTTATGCGTCTGTGAAAATATTTGGTGGTTTATGTGATGTGCATTATAATGCACCGTTGGCGAATTTAACGTTGTGTGCGCTAAGTTGGTGAAACCTGCTACAGCCTAATCTAAATAATAATTCTCCGAATTCTTAGTAAAAAGGTGTTTCTGTCCATACTTCTTGATTTACATTTCATTATTATTGCGTTATATCACAATCAACATTACTGAGTGACGAGCAATGCAACCACATACTTCTGTCCCACCATGTTTGTTGTTGCAGACGTTCTTGGACTATGGTCATTTGAATAATCATACAGTCAGCGTACACCCAAATGCACTGGTTTGGACGTGGATGGAGAGGATCATCTGTCTTACCCGAAATGTCCTTGAATTTCTATCAGTATGCAGTCAATATCAGGGAAGTCATACTACCTGCCGTCTTCAATCTACATCACCTGTTGTTGCCAAACGGTTTTGTGGATTGTACATTTAGGTCAGAGACTTCAGCTGCGGTCCTCTGAAAATACCTGCATCGGTCTAAAAAACCAGGAAGTATAACTAAAGACTGATTTATGTAGTACGAATTGGGTACCAATGGAAGAATCATTCTCGTTTCAACTCTCATTTGATTATGGTTGATCACTTAACGAGGTGATGTGGTTCGATTACTCTAGGACGTATGGGTTTCCAAGCTGTAGCTAAAGCAAAACTTGAAATTTGAGTTTCTTGTTTGTGTGTACCGGTTTAGTTGCATTCCCGTAGATGTATCAATCATACTTTGAAGCAATGTTCATGAAGTGTATTTCAGATGTCAACTCAAATGTGTCCTCAGTATGCTGCACTAACAATCCTGCAAACAATGAAACAAATTGTACATATACCTGATCAGAATGGACATTTTGGTCAGCTACAACTGTTAACAAATTATTCAGAACTGTAATGACGAGGGATGTCACAAAACTAATACTGATACTGAAACACGATGTATTACGCGCCTACTCTTGAACAGACTACTTGGGCGAGAAAGAATGTTAGGCCACCGAACTCTATGTACAACTACACGCTGTACGAAATTAATCCATTACTCTGGCAACGAAATTCACTTGTCCTCCACGTCACTCCTGATCATTATCGTTTGACTTTCACATCAAGTTTTAGTTCTCAAAATTCTTAGAGAAATTCTTTTCTCTAGTCAATTTCTGATAAATCTGTACGGAAAAAAATCACAGATAGTAAAAAGATCTGCTCATTCTTTGCATGTTCTCAGAGATAAATGTCCCTGTTGAGGTTATAGCAGTATTTCACTGATTCATGTTCGTACATCTGAAACGACTAATCGTTTTGTCTGATAGCCAGTAAATGTACGACAGCTTTGCGTTCGTTTAGTGCATGAGTGCTGTATATAACAGCTCGTTGTTTCAAGTGGTACCATTTCAGTCATCAAAAGCTATTTGTATACATCTCCTCTAAACACAACACCATATAGAATTCCAAATTCCAAGTTGTAAACGCAAATAAGTTGAAAGTTAGTAGTTTCAGCAGTATCCTGTCTAATTCTCAACTACTGATCGTCTTTTATTGTACATTGATTGAACACTTGTTCACTGGTAATAGCTTTTGTAACTTGCTCGAACAATTCTAATGTCAGCGATTGAAACTTAAATAATTCCAACGTTTTGTTCAACTACTGTGTGTGGACTTCCTCAGCGTGATAATACAATTCATCAAAGAAATATGTAGCGTTTTTAATAATCAAACTAGATCAAGTCTATATTGTACCGATCCAATTATATTGGGATGTTGATTTTAGAAAATCGAATGACATGAATTAGTTAAATGTGAATCATGTGAAAAATTCACGTAATGAAAACAAGTGACTGAAACGAATGATCTGTGTGTGTATGTAATGATGTTGTAAGATTGAGTTATTAATGAACGAAATTTGGTGTGAACATCTTTTTATATGATATAAAAATGAAAGTACAATTGTTTCTGAATCACTGAAGTGCAAGTGAAATGAGGATCACCAAATACTGACACTATAACTAGTTGCACGATACAACATAGATTTTCAATATTCAGCAAACTCACCACACGTATACACAGAGCTATAACGTGGTGGGATTTCACTAACTGGATTTCAATTTTCAATTAACGAAGATGAAAGTGTTTTGCCTGTACAGTATTCGCTCCTAATAGTTTGAAGCAACCTATCATCTAAAGGCACAACGGCACATATCTAAACATTAAATGATCTTCCCTGAAATGTAATGCATACGTTTCGACTAACAGTTTGTTTAGCATGCATTTCAGAATATCATGTGTTCAGAACACTATTAGAGTTCAGTTGAGGAAGAGGAAATTGACCTGACGTTAACTATGAAGAGGTTTTATAGCAGCTCACGAGCAATTCAGTCTGTCCACATTTATTTCGGTTAATCCCTTTTGTGA